CTCGATGTAGGTGATCAGGCCTGGTACTACATTTTCGCTCCCAAAATGGGTAACAATAATGCGACCTCGGGGAAGCTGGCTAAGAAACTTTTGCCCAAATGGTCGGGTCCATACCTGATTACAGATAAGATCTCTCCGGTCGTGTATCAGATCAAGATCGCCGACAAAAACAGGGCGCCCGTCTACAAATGGGTACACAGGGACCATATCAAACTGCACAAGGGTCCCACAGATTTGGCCGATACCAACAACAACAATCAACAAGACTTCAAAAGGGGGGTGATATATACGTCCCGTTGGTTCCACAGATTTCTATCTCTGATGACACAAATTTGTTTGTTTGTGAGTGTGCATGGTTGTCTTCCATGTTATACGTCACGTGCAGACTTAAGGTGTGTTGAGACGGACGTGCTGTGGGCTCCTGGAGTCAGGTAAACGGCCAGGTAACAGTGAGTGGGTTAGGCCACATAGTACTGTTGTCCAAAATTTTTGGTTTTTTTTATCTTTACTAACCATAATTCCTTAGGGGTACATTAACGTGAACATGATTACTAACCACTGATTTACATTTTAGTACTGATTTACATTTCTGTTTTTTTTATAGTACCTTTGATCAGTTTTTAACAGTGAATATTATGATTTTGACTATCAATTCTTTGATTTATCTCACAGGGCTATAACCAATTTTGACCCTGTCCTGACAGCGTGTATTTCCAGTGAGGTTTCACTGATACCAGTTAGGGTTCTTTCATTTTTCTGCTTCTCGCATCATCCCTTTTTGCATCTACCACAGACAGGGCTGCATCCATTTCTTCACTTAATGGGTACTTACACATAAAAATAACACATAGTACAAAAGGCACTAATAGAGTTAGGTTTTTAATTTTGTTTTGATGACATGAAATGCAATTTTGTCGTGTCTACGTTTAAGTGCCTACACTGTGCTCACTCTCCTCTGCTGAGCTTGTGAGGATCCTGCTTCCTGGGGGTGGATCCGTGACTCGTCATCTGCATCGACTACTCCTGGGGGGTGCTCCGGCTCGTTGGCCTTGGACGACTGTGGTTCCGGCATGGCTGCTGGGACACCTCATTCGTTGGGATTACTGTCAACTGCTCTTCCCTTTTTGTGGATTACGATAAGTACTGTTGCAGAGTTCAATTTTTATTTGGAATATTACCCTGCCAGTGGATACAAAAGTCGATCTTTTATTTGGAATATTACCCTGCCAGTGCATACAAAGTTCAATTTGATATTTGGAATACTACCCTGTTCGTGGATACGTACAAGATTTGCTCCTGCTTTGCTTTATTGCCCGTGAGGATATAAAGTTGCTGTTGCTTCGTTTATGGCTTCCATGGGGAATGATTAATAACCTGCTGACTTGTGTTCTTCCTGAGGAGTATGCGAGACTGTTCTTCGGCGTGGGGTTCGTACCTCACCACAGATGGCTGTTCCCTTGGGATCGCATCCTGTTCTGTTGTCAAGATTCTTCATAACTTGGGTTTGTTCAACGACCAAGTGGTCTCTTGAAGGACCACATTGACCTTGAAAAGGGGGGATATGTAACGTTATGAAGTTCATTATTTTCAGCTCCACACAGCTGCCCCTGTACACAGTAACGCCCGTGTAGAAAACGCCAAGGTCGGGTGTTCCTCAGACTGTTTACATTCCAGGAGAAGAGCCAGAAGGAGAAGAAGAACGCTTTTCAATAATCAAAGCACTTAATTTGTGATTAAAGCTATTCGAAACATATGTTGATCAATAATAATCAAGTGAATGATCTGTGGAATAAAGATGTCATGATTTATGTGTTTAATGAAAACAGGACTACTGCACAGACAGACTGACCCTCATCTCCATAGAAACGCATGACACATTGTTCCAACCAATCAAAGCTTTCGGCTGCCGCAAGAGAATCTGGCTTGTTGACTTAAAGTGTCCAATCCGCTTTACTAAAACTTATCAACAATTCAGAGATATAAAACAAGGCAACGCCATTTTAAGCTCAGTTCCATTTTGACTTCAGTTCTATTCACCGTCATCCCAAAGAGAAGCACAGCCTGGCCAGATGTGTTTTCTTCTTTAAACTAAGAACTGTGAAGTTGGAGATTTTCGTCGTTTAACAACCAGACGACATCCTTTCAAAATAAGAGCACCTGCTGACGCTGCCGATTGTTACCTGGGTCGACCCTTCAGACGGGCTTTGAAACGCTGCGATCGCTGTTTCGACCAGCTCCAGCGCACATCCGAGGTCTTCAGACCTGGCATTTCCTGATCTACCTGGGAGGCCCCCACTGGGTACGTACACGGCAAAATAGCAGCTCATGTCATCACTTTATAAGCCTCGTGATATCTAGTCATAACAATCAGACTACCAGATTCAAGGACGTCAGCCTAAGGAGTCTGAACCAACCACACACACACACACACACACACACACACATCGAACATCACATTCATTTCCAAACAACACAGAGTTAGTCCTGGTAGATTGTTAAGAATTTATAATTAAGAAATTAAAGATTCTTAAACGATCCCAACTCTCTCTCTTTTCTTGTCTCAAAGTCAATACAGAGTGTTTAATTAAAATCCCTGATGATAAAAACAGCCCATCTTCTGATTATAAAACTAGATCTAATTACAGTGTTATAAATACACAATATTAGATAGTTACCTCACTCTTTATTGTTACACTATTCATAATTTTTATGGACAGGATTTCTAGGCACAGCCAAGGTGTTAAGAAAATCCGTGTTGGTGGCCTAAGGATCAGGTCTCTGCTTTTTGCGGATGATGTGGTCCCGTTGTCTTCATCAGAACATGTAGTGTCTGCAGTGATGTGGACATTGTAACAGCATGTAGTGGTGCAGAGCGAGCTGAGTCAGAAGGCAATCCTCTTGGTTTACTGGTTGATAAATGCTCCAACCCTCATCTATGGTCACAAGCTTAGGGTAGTGACCAAAAGAATTAGATCACGGATACAAGCGGCCAATACGAGTTATCTCCGAAGGGTGTCTGGGCTCTCCCTTAGAGATAGGGTGAGAAGCTCGGCCATTTGAGAGGGGCTCGGAATAGGCCCGCTGCTCCTCCACATTGAGAGGAGCCAGTTGAGGTGGCTCAGACATCTGGTTAGAATATCTCCTGGACACATCACTGATGAAGTTTTCCAGGCATGTCCAACCAGGAGGAGACCCTAGGGAAGACCTAGGACATGCTGGAGGGACCATGTCTCTCGGCTGGCCAGGGGACACCTTGGGATTCCCCTGGAGGAGCTGGTTCAATTGGCTGGGGAGAGGGAAATCTCGGCCTCTCTACTTAGGTTACTGCCCCATGGCTCGACCCCGGATATGTGGACAAAGGATGGATGGATGGTCTATAAAGCCTGACGCATTAAAGTGATGAGATGTACTTCTCCTGGTGGTAGGGGCAGCACATACCAAAATCATTTCCAGCAAGTGGTATTTTCTTGTCCAGGTAAAACCTTACCAACGGATGTCCATTAGGGTCAAAAATCCCTGGGAGCGCATTTTTTGACAGAGTTCTTAATCAAATAATTTAAACTCCGGCAAAATGACAAGCACATCAGACTCCCTTTCATCCCATGCAACGAGCAAAGAGGCAAATGTGTAAAACAAAAATGTTTATAAACGGCTTGTAACAAATCAGTGAATGCGTTTTGTCCTCATTGGCATTGACGTAGATGTAAACATTGAGTCTAATGTGGCGTCGCCCATAGACTGAGACAAGGTCCTGTGTTTTTTAAACCTGATATTTTTGTTTACATGTTATGAAGCCGCTAGGGCTGGGCGATATATAGATATTTTTAAAATATGGATATAATTTTTAAACAAGAAACAAGATGACTTTATATCTTCATATCGATATAACTGGCCAAACTGCAATGCTAGCGATTAGCCACTATGCTAGCGACATGTTGCTCCGTCTCTAAGCGGTTATTACATATATTCTCACAAGTTTGCTCAATCTGAGAGCCTCTGGGTAAATGTGCTGCTCTAAACTTTGCATTTGGCGTTCTGGTTTTTAATTATTGAGGGACGTTCAATGCCAACGGAGTTCTGTTTTTCCATCCTGCTCGTGCGGAGACGAGCTAAACCCCTCCCTCCCCTGTGTAATCGGGGAAAATCTACAGATAGCCGGAGTGGCCAAATTACCTCAAATGTATTGTAAGGATTTCAATAGTAAACTATAGGGTTAACGTTTTATTTTGAAGGGGAGCTCAACGGGTGAGAAATATTGTTCCGGTTCCATTTTTTTCCGGTTTGCTATGCTAGTAAATACTCAGTATGGGTTAGGGTTAGGGTTATAATACTGATAAGAGAGCAATCAGAGACTCTGAGTCATTACAGTATAATCGCTGATATGAGCCAATACTGTTGGACTCCAGCCATGTTTGCCCTGATAACTAATAACTCCACGGTGCATGACCCATGAGCTCTTCAGTAGATACAATTGCATCATCATAAACTTAGCTTAACATGATAGATTTTTTTTTCCTCTGGACAAGAAATAAACGATATGGCCACCTCTAGATGACATTTAAACAATTTTACAATAATTATAAATTTATAATTAAAAAGTGCCTGTGGGACATTTGATACACCTCTAGCTCTCAATTGTGTATGTGTGTGTGTGTGTGTGTGTTAGCAGACAGCTGTACCAGACAATAGGCACTAAGGTTAAAGTTTGACAAGAATCAATACATTTTTATGCATTTAATCTACTGATTTATGTTTATAATTTCTCAAGACAGCTTGAAGTGAGTTAACTTGTAAATATTTTACAGGAGGAAAAATATCCAGATATATATCGTATATTGGAATTCAGCTAAAAGATAGAGATATAAGTTTTGTTCCGTATCGCCCAGCCCTAGAAGCCGCAAACATTTTCCAACACCTGGGCATCATTTAATTAATGGTAAAAACTATACATTGTCACTTAATACATGGACAAGTCAGTATTATTAGGAACATAAACTCACCGCTTGGAGCTTCTTCTTGGCAGCTTTGGCCAATTCAGAGAGGTCCAAACTGAAAGAACAAAGCCAGTTGTAATTTTTTTTATAGATGAGCAGAAGACAGACAATAGAGAGGAAATGGGTAGGAAACCAGGAGATAGGGCCAACAATGCAATTGGGGGGATGGGGTGATTTATCTCCTGCCCCCTGCAATTACTCAGACACCTGCTGCTGTAAACTCACTTTCTTCTGCTAAAATCCTGTTTCATAAACAAACTCATCTGAAATTAAATTCTTAATATATTCAGAAGAAATTCTTGTTTTTGCCTTGTCCTGGAAGTCATTGTGGATAAATGAGGATGAAAAGGGTTTTCCCGGTGGACTTCTAAGCACACCACCTTGTTCTCAGGAGGACCTTTAAACTCCGCCTCTTACACAAGACGCTGTTTATTTTTAACAAATCAGCTTCACAAGAAACAAAACGGGGAGCCATACAAAAGGTTGGGGAGTGTGAGAGAAAGGAAGAGAAAAGCAGGAGAGAGAAACAAGGAAGGTAAAGATACCTTTGTGTCGGACACTTAGGACGAGCTCTGGCTCCACCAAGCGCAGCAAAAATGAGAGAACAGGAAACCAGTGAGGAGAGAAAGAAACAGACAGGAAGAAGGCAGAGAAGCCACATGAAAACAACTTTTATAATGATCAAGGAGAACCAGAACTAAACAAGTGAAGTTAAACCAGCTCCCACACAGAAACTGAAGGTTCAGGACCTCCACACAAGATGTTTGAACAGCAAGTCCACACATGGAATTTCTTTGGGACCCCTGGTAGTCAGAAAACCAAATTACAGGTTTTCCAAATCATCCAACCAGACGAAAGAACACTAATGTGGAGCCTTTATTAATCAGAGAACTACAAAAATCATTTAAATTAACCCAAACAAATTAAAACCATACCTGTCAGCCATTTGAGGAATGATATAGTGGCCATTTTTGTGATCTAAAGAAAGAAAACAAGTCAGTGTAAAAAGCTACAACTCCATGCTACTGACTGTGGGACGAGAGGTTACCTGGGCGTCGGCCACACAGGTAGAAAGCTAGCCTATCTGTCAGCTCATACTGACACTCCACCAAGCGCTCTGCTAGCTCTACATGGCCCGCCTGCCTGAAAAACAAACAGATCTGTGCGTTTTTCAAATCAGATATCATGATGAAATCAGTCAGCTGCATTTATATTTGTACCTAGCAGAGTCCATAGGTGTGTGCCCGTTGATATCAGGTGCTCCAGGATCTGCGCCGTAGATGACAAGCAGTTCAGCCTGAAGGATCTGGCCCGCCTTGGCTGCTACATGAAGCGGGGTTGTGCCCTTCTCCTGCATCAGCAAAACACACACTTAAGAACTTACAACACCGTAAACCATGAACACAACTCAAATGGTACCACTGGAAGCTTAGATTTCTGACCGGGTGGAAGAAGTTGGCCTGAGCACCGAGGGACAGCAGCCGGAGACATGTCTCTAAACTTCCTGTCCGCACACTCGAATGGAGTTGCTAGCAGAGGAAAAGATGAAACAGAGAAGATGGTGTGAAGCCTGTGTGTATATGTGTGTGTTATTTTTCTTCCAGCTGGGAATAAAGACGCTCAGCAACATTTTGCTATTAGAGTTCAGATGAGCATGCTTAGAGTGCCAATGCTCAACTTTTATCTGAGGATGTTTAATAAAGGTCCCTTTAGTGCATTGTCATGAGAGGACACACTAAAAAGCTCTGGGGTTTATTCTGCTGCCGACAGTGAACCCACTACTTGCAGCCATAAACAGCCTCTTAGTGCAAGACAAAGTCTGACTTTAGCTTGTAAAAAGACTAAAACTCAGAAATGTTGGCATATTGGAAGAGGCCTCCCTGGGCTGCCACCTTAACATGGTGGAGGGGTTTGAGTGTTCCAATGATCCTAGGAGCTAAGTTGTCTGAAGCTTTATGCCTCTGGTAGGGTCACCCATGGCAAACAGGTCCTCAGTGAGAGATCAGACAAAGAGCAGCCCAAAGACCTCTTATGATGAATAATATAAATGAAAATCCTGTTCCCTCGCCCGGAAGCGGGTCACCGGGGTCCCCATCTGGAGCCAGGCCTGGAGGTGGGACACGTTGGCGAGCGCCTGGTGACCGAGCTTTCACCCATGGAGCTCGGCTGGGCACAGCCCAAAGAGGAAACGTGGGTCCCCGTTCCCATGGGCTCACCACTCATTGGAGGGGCCAAAGGGGTCGGGTGCAGTGTGTGATGGTCAAGGGCGGGGATCTTGGCAGTCTCATCCTCAGCTACAGAAGCTGGCTCTTGGCACGTGGAATGTCACCTCTCTGGTGGGGAAGGAACCTGAGTACGTGTGTGAGGTTGACAGATTCCAACTAGATATATGCGGAATGACCTCAACGCATGGATCTGGCTCTGGAACCAGTTTCCTTGAGAGGGATTGGACTTTCTACCACTCTGGAGTTGCTCCCACTGAGAGGCGCCGAGCAGGGGTGGGCATACTAGTTGCCCCCATCTTGGTGCCTGTATGTTGGGGTTTACCCCAGTGAATGAGAGGATAGCCTCCCTCCGCCTACAGTACATGCGGGGGGACGGGTTCTGACTGTGGTCTGTGCTTATACACCAAACTACAGTTCAGACTACCCAGCCTTTTTGGAGACATTGGAGGGAGTGCTGGAGGGAGCTCCTTCTAATGACTCCCTCGTTCTGCTGGGGACTTTAACGTTCACGTGGGCAACGACAGTGAGACCTGGAGAGGTGTGGTTGGGACACACACACACACACACACACACACACACACACACACACACACATATATATATATATATATATATATATATATATATATATATATACATACAAGTGAACAATAAAACCAAGCTCTAACATACGCTTATACGACCATAATATAGTGCTTTTAACCTTATTGTATATGACAGTTTGTTTTGGATTATTATTTTATGCATGTTTACATATATTTTCTGTATCTATACAAGGCATTTAGCTGTCTGACATGCAGGCCATGGGGTTTGGAATAATTACATACTAGAATAATTATTATTGGATTAACTTGATATGCAGTCTACATACAGTACAATAGAAAATAAAAACAGGCCATGTTTAATAGTAATTAACAATAAGACCCATTTCGTCTGCTAGTGCTCTGATATAACTCTCCTAACTTTATAGAAGTGTAATTTAAAATCAAGCTTCTGAAGTGATGCGAGGAGGAAAAGTATCACGTGTGATTGTGCTTTCTATTTTCTACGCATACTATGTGTTGAACCAAAAATTGTGAGGTGACACAAAACAACTTAAGGATGATTTGCAAATAATGACCATTAATGTCTGATGTAGTTTATATTAAATTCATTGTTGTCACTGACCAGCTAGTGGTGCTGTATCTTGCTAGCTCATTAAGCTAACCAGACGACGTGTTCAGTAGTAATCGCTTACCTGCCCTCGCCGCCAACAAAGAGCTACACAGTAGAGCCTGCGGCGGCGCCTTGAGTTTTTAATACGTCTCTCTGCAGCAATAGACCATTGTCCTGAGGCTAGCACAATGACTTGCTTAGTAGCTAGCTAGTGAGCTAGCGTCTGGTTAAAACCAACTTAAAAAGTGGCTTAACTTACAGATTAACCAAGAGTGCCTAAGAAAAGATAAAATATATTATCACTATTCACTCTGGATCCTGAGTAGACACTACAGACAGCAAAAATAATGTGTTTGGGGCTCAAAATGTATGTTGTTGACCAAGGTGAAAAAAAAAAGAAGTCTTGGACGCTACATCACTTCGGGTCACTGAACTGTCACTCAAGAGAAGGGATGCTCATTACGTCGATCGCGATCTACCAGTCGATCGCAAAGGTAGCGTAGGTAGATCTCATGAAAAATTATGTCAGCCTATCAGCCATCCTGTAAAACTTGATTGATATATATGGCAGCCAGTCAGTTTTTACATCACCGCTTCAAAAAGAATCCAATATAGTCTATAAAAGTGATCTAAACCAGCCGCGCCGTCAAAGAGGATTGGGATCTATTTTTACCGCTAGCCATGTCAATAACCGTAAATAACATAGGGCTAGACAGGAAATCACACACACTTTCAGTACTCCAAAATAAAAGTCTATTTCAAAGATCCGACTTCGTATTTACATAGATTACGTCTACACGTGTGACCTCATGAATTATTTAATCCAAGCATGGTTTGAGATGAGCAGTGGTGTGTTTTTCATTGATTTAACCTGGCAGTGGAGAGGAACATTATATGAGATGTCAAACGTGATATCTTTTCTTCCGGTCACAGATCACTGCGCAAGACGGCGCACAACAGCAGCAAAACTAGCAAGCTAGTCAGCAAGTAGTATTCCATTTTTAGCGCTCGGGTTTCTTTAGAAAGGTAAAATGAGTGGCATATGTAAAAAGAAAAAAAATGTATCACTTTCATACGGAATGGGAGGAGGACTTTTTTTTCACAGAGACATTTTCAAAGTGTGTTTGCCTCATCTGCCAGTCTGCCATAGCATTACCAAAGAAAGGAAATGTGGAGCGCATTTTCGGACTGTTCATGGGAAATATGACACAGACTTCCCGCCGAAAAGTGAACTGAGAAAGAGAAAGGTGAAGGAATTAAAAGGCCAGTTTTCCGGACAGCAGTCATTTTTCTCACAACATACTTCTAAAGCCAAAGCCGCCACCGAAGCATCGTTCGGGGTGAGTCACCTCATTATTAAAAAAAATAAGTCCTTCCAAGACGGGAAGATGATAAAAGAGGAAGTCGTTGAAGCTGCTGACTCATTGTTCCAAGATTTTAAAAACAAGGCAGAAATATTATCTTCGGTCAAAGCTCTCCAGCTGTCAAGAAGTACAGTTAAACGGCGCAGTGAAGACATTGCTGAGGATTTGACCCAGCAACTTTGGAAGGACATCACAGATTGCGAGTGTTTCTCACTGCAGTTGGATGAATCTACGGACGTGAGTGACACGGCCCAGATGTGCATTTTCATTCGTATGGTGTTTACTGATATTTCTGCAAAAGAGGAGCTACTAACATTGCTGCCCTTGAAAGAAAAGACCAGAGGAGAGGATATATTTCAGTCGTTTAAAAACTTTATTGAGGAAACCCAGTTCCCAGTGCATAAACTAGTGTCCATCACCACGGATGGAGCACCAGCAATGGTCGGCCGTTTAAATGGATTTATTGCCAAGTGCAGAGAGGATGATGCTTTTCCGAACTTCCTGAATTACCACTGCATAATCCATCAACAAGTGTTATGCGCTAAAATGCTCAACATGAAAGAGATCATGGACGTAGCAATAAAGATTGCCTGTTCTCTTCCTGCCAGATCACTTCAAAGACGGCTATTCCATGTGCATCTGGAGAAGGCTGTGACCGACTGCTCTGAGCTGTTGCTGCACACTGATGTGAGATGGCTCAGTCGAGGGAAATTCCTGCAAAGATTTCGAGAGCTCTGTCCAGAAATAAAGGATTTTTTTCGTGAAGCTGGAAATGCAGAATACAAGGAACTACATGATAGTCAGTGGCTGTTAGACTTAGCATTTTTAACTGATCTGACAAACATGTTGAATGACCTTAATCTAGAGCTGCAAGGAAAAGACAAAACAGTGATCAGTATGATCAGCTCAGTTAATGCTTTCAAACGAAAGATGCAACATCACTCCTCAAAACTGCAGCGCTGTGATTTGACAAACTTCCAGAACCTGGCATCAGAGCTGGAGATGCAAGGGAAGGCCAGTGTGCAACTGACATTGCACGCTACACAGAGCAGATTGACAGTTGTTTGTCAGAGTTTGACAAACGCTTTCAAGACTTTACTTTACTTTTGAGCCAGTTGCTACATTCATGTGCTATCCTTTTCGGGAAGATGCTGAGGTTGATTCACTTTCATCAAAAATTGCAACACTGTTTAACCTGAACGCTGACATTCAGCTGAAGTCCAGAGCTCATGAGCAGTTCTGAAACTTACTCACAGAGGTTAAGTACCCCAACAGGAGGAAATGTGCTATGTTTCTGACTGCATTTTTTGGCTCCACCTATTTATGTCAGCCTTTTCACACATGAAGATCATCAAGTCCAAGTACCGTTCCACCATGACTGATGAAAATCTGGAAGTGTGCTTGAGGCTGGCTGTGAGCTGTTACTGTCCGGACTATGCATCCCTGGCTGATTCCATTCAGTGCAAGTCATCAGAGTAAACTCAGGTAATGACAAAAGTTTACGTAGTTAATTATGTTGTGTTGACTACTGACTCATGGCTATATTGGCTCATGTGGTTTTACATGTTTTGTAGTAGGGTAGATCATTTTGACTTGGTCATTTTATAAGTAGCTCGCAAGTTGAAAAAGTGTGAGCACCCCTGCTCAAGAGAAACCACTGTTCTATGGGAGAGGACTTCTCAGAAGTCCCACCCACCCGAAAGGGTTGTGTCAGAATTGCAAACAAAAACTCAGCGATTGCAAAGGAGAAAGCCAGAAAGTGTAAGTGCAAATCTGGTAGTGAGAGCAAAGCTGTGGGCAGGGAGAATGAAACTAAGGAAATTGATAACAAAAACACATAGAGGCAAATAGGAAAAGGAAACATACTCATTTTTATCTGATTGCGTTTCAGCGCTAGGGTCACTTGAATTGCCCTAACATTATGGTTTTAACTATTCTTCTTTTTAAACCGGATGCTTGATTTTATTTTGTCCGACATTTGTTTTTTTTTTATCGATTGGTCTTATTCCAATATCTCTTATCTGTAATGCTGTTTGCTTGCTATTTTTTGATTTTATGTTTTTATCCTGCTTTTATGCCCATGTATTGAGAATGTTTTTCTTTTAATGATGTTGTTCAGCACCTTGGGCTTCGGATAATGTTGTAGAAGGTGCTATACAAATAAAATTTGATTGATTGATTGATTGATAAACTGCTCCTATAAAGGTATTGAATAACATCCGCCTGAATACAGATGCAGGTAAAATTTCTGTGCTGTTTCGGTTAGATCTGAGTTCAGCTCTTGGCACTGTTGACCATACCATACTAATAGACAGGCTTCATAAATGGACTGGTTCAACGCATCTGTCAGCATTCATTCTGTGGGAGTTTTGGATTCTTGAGCCTCCGAGACTATTTGGGAGTAAGATAAGGATGATTGTTTTGAGATAGGCCAGAGATATTTTTACCATTCTGCCTTCAGTTTCTTCTGGTCTAAAGGTTGTCCAAACAGCTAAATAATGGGGCTTAATTGTTTTCATAGCGTGCAGTAACTTCATCTTTGAGGGCATCCATTTTGCGTGCCAATACAGGAATTGCAGCAATATTACTGTCCAGAGCATTCAGCTTTCGATTCATCCCAAGCATCATCTGAGTCAGTGAGCTTAAAACATGGCAGAGACATTCTTTAAGCTCAGGAAAAACATCCCATTGCCCCCGACAGCTCCACAATTTTCAAAATACCAGATTAGCAGAAATACGGTACTTATAAATCCAAAAATCCATACGTTTTCTGAGTCCACCACAGACAGCAGAGAAAGGCACATAATATTCAATTTCTTCCAGGAATCCAAAATGTATCCAACCAGGTGCGTTCCATAAGAAACAAGGAAGTCTTCTCTGTTCTTAATGTGGAATTTTTTTAATCACTTCTATTTGTAGACCAGCTCACCAGATCAAATGTTTTATAAAAAAGTTGAAGTTTTCAGTAGGAATGCAGAGAAGCGCTCCTGAAAACAGAAACCGGACAAAGAGACTTGAGGCAATAAGAAGGAGAAATGGTGCTCTCATAAGTATGGACGTGGGCATTTTCAGCACGTCTTAAGGCTGTGGTTGGCACAAAATGCACTATGATTTATCATTGTGCGATTGTTCAGTAAAACAATGTTGATTTTATATTTCCTCATCAGGTTGACGCAGTGATAACTTGCTCTTGTTGTATTGCTGTTTTTCTCTTTCTGCAGGTCCCATCACTTTTGTTTTTTAAATGGTAAATAGCCTGTATTTGATATAGCACCTTCTAGAGTCCTGTAGCCCCCATAGCACTTTACAACACAATCAGTCATTCACCCATTCACACGCTGGTGGTGATGAGCCACACTGTAGCCACAGCTGCCCTGGGGCGCACCGACAGAGGCGAGTCTGCCGAACACAGGCACCACCAGTCCCTCCGACCACCACCAGCAGTCTATCGCTCAAGGACAGAACGACAGCGACAGACTGAGCGGCGCTCAAACCTGCAACTTCCAATTATGGCACGCGCACTCAACTCCCGTCCCACCGTCACTGCCAAAAATAATAATCTGTCAATACCGTTAAATTTCCATTCATTTTTTATTAATATTTAGCTGAAACAAGCTGAGCAGAGTGCCCTCGTAACATATAAACAATGCATTTAAAAAATTTCACATAAATTAAGGACATTTCTAGCTAGGCAAGCAAGACAAAATAAATGTATTATTTATTTAGTCTGGCTTGCCTAAATAAATGTATTATTTAGTCTGGCAATGCTCCATTGATGGCTCTCGGTCGTGGGGTGGGTTCTACCGTTGTCTTTCAAACGATCTCCACATGCTAGTGGACAATGAACAACGTGACGTACTCAACACAATGGATGTTGGTAAATGAGGCGGTCCACTGTTGAAGAAGGTGAAAATATGTCCTTTTTTTCTAAAAAAAAAAAACAATAACTTAAATCCATCTATCTGCTCTTGATTCTAATACAGCCCAAGTCCACATAGTCCTAACTGATGTAAAAACCGTTTCAAACGAGCTGTCGCCATCTTGTTCCTCTTGTGCCTCTGTTTCCAGTTTGTAAAGATAACTATAAAATTATTAAATAGCACAGTAGCACCTTTTTCTGTTGCAGTACAAGGTAACAGTGAGAAAACATCAGCATGCAATAAGGGATGAACAAGGTCAACAGTCATGAAGACAAAAAAACAGGATATGATGCAATGTGTGCTTTTCAATAGCTGGTCAAACAAAGGCCAGAGCCCTTACCTTGCTGAGATCCTTTGTGGTGACACCATCATCATCACAGCAGGGAAGCTTGTGCACAAATGCCAGCATCTGGTATTTGGCTCTGATGAACTCTGATTTTGTGGGACTGAAAAAGAGAAGAGACGTTCAGCAAAGAATAAAAATAGGTCTTACAATACTTACGGTTCAAACACTTCCCACCACCAGCTGTTTATCCTCGTACATATTTTAGACTCCAGATTGTGTTGGTTTTAACAGCATTGATCGTTTTAAGAAATATAATAAATGTCTGTATAATAGCACCTCCCAAGTTCATAATCTGAATTTAAATGTTTTATTTCCAACAGATATTTTCTCCCAGAAAAAAACACAACCGAGCCATCTCACACACTCCCCTGCACAACTGTGTATACACTGTACCCAATCTTGGACAGAGATAACATGCAGATTATAAGGCCCCCTTGTAGCTAGAGACTTTGGCTGCGATTCCAGCCTTGGCACGCAAAATACATGGCATCATGGAGAAAGTTACTGCATGGTATGGAGAAGTTTAAACTCCATTATTCGGCTTTTGGAAGAGTTGAGACCGGCAGAGAGTAAAAGGAACAGAGGAATCTTTTCCCAGCCTGTTCCAAAACAAATCACCTTATCTAATTCTGGCACCCTTGCTGCCTTGGAGGCTGAAGAGAAGAAAACCTCCTGTAGCATGCCAAAGGTGAAGTTTTCATCCAAATGAACAGAAATTAACTTTTAATTTGCAGCCACAAACTGTGTCACACATCCAGGGACCCATCACATCTGTCTGGCCTCCAAGAAAGAAAAACCGGAAAATGCTACGTGCAACTGACCAAAGAAGCCATAATATTTTTGCTCAAGGTCTCAGGCAGAAGAAGAGACTCCTGCACTTTCATTCAGAATAAAGTTAATCTTCCGTGAATCATAAATGATTTTACCACTTTATAGCTTGATATAATCAAATGTGTTGAATGAACAAGATGCTTGAATCCCAAAGTGTATGAATAATGTGTGCATTAATCAATGATGTTAAAATGAATAATATTCCTGCAATGATTCATTTCAGATCTTAAACTACGCCAGATCAGTGTTTGTTATTTTAACAAGTTATTCTATCAGTATACTCATACATCATAAGGTTAATATTAAGGTTTAACATTCACTTCACATAAATGTGTAAAACATTTCCACTTCACTAAGAGGAACCACTCTATCTGACTGAAGGCGTGATTCTCGGAGGTATTTTTGTAATGTTTTTAAACGTGTCAAATTCCGGGAGTTGATAAAACAGAATTATTCCCTGATCTAGTTAGTTTCCAGCTGCCTCCTGGTCCGGCCAAACCGGTGTGCAAGCATTTAATACCATCTTTTGACCTCAAGGTCAAATCCTCTCTGCAACGCTTGCAAATGATTTCAGACACAATGGCACCTCTAAGAGCCACTCCACACCTCAGACAGATGTCTAACCCTGGTTGCACCTCATGGTCACTGAAAGCTGAATTCAAAGGGAGTTACGACTCTTTGGGTTCTTGTGGTCTCGGCGTCCGGTGATCTCACCACTCGGGCCGCCTTTCATCCGGATCGCCGGAAGAAACAATCACCCATGGGTATCGTGGACTATGCCCACTGGCATCGGCTAGTTTTATAAACAAATCTCTAGCTTATCAAACTATACAGCCAAACTGATTTTACAACCCAGACTTCACAATCTCTTCCAGAATCTTAAGAAATGTTTTGCTAAAACATCTAGCTTCCATTCCATCATTTCATCCATTAAATCCAATCACTTCATACATTCCACTCCATCATTCTATTAATACCTTGCCTTGTATAATCATTAATTTAGGAAGATAGAAATAAATTAATTTTTATAATCTACAGGTGGGCCATGTTTATGGATACACCTGAATAAAATGGGAATGGTTGGTGATATTAACGTCCTGTTTGTAGCACATTAGTATAAGTGAGGGGGCAAACTATTCAAGATGGGCGGTGACCATGGTGGCCATTTTTAAATTGGCCATCCTGGATCCAACTTTTGTTTTTTCAATAGGAAGAGTCATGTGACACATCAAACTTATTGGGAATGTCACACACACACAAAAAAAACCAATGGTGTGCTTGGTTTGAACGTAACTTTATTCTTTCATGAGTTATTTACAAGTTTCTGACCACTTGTAAAATGTGGTCAATGTGCTACCCATTGTGTTGGATTATCAATGCAACCATCTTCTCCCACTCTTCACACACTGATAGCAACACCACAGGAGAAATGCCAGCACAGGATTCCAGTATCCATAGTTTCAGGTGCTACACATCTTATATCTTCACACCATAGACAATTGCCTTCAGATGACCCCAAAGATAAAAGTCTAAGGGGGTCAGATCAGGAGACCTTGGGGGCCATTCAACTGGCCCACGATGACCAATCCACTTTCCAGGAAACTGTTCATCTAGGAATGCTCGGACCTGACACCCATAATGTGGTGGTGCACCATCTTGCTGGAAAAAATCAGGGAACGTGCCAGCTTCAGTACATAAAGAGGGAAAGGCATCATCATGTAGCAATTTAAAATATCCAGTGGCCTTGAGGTTTCCATTGAGGAAGAATGGCCGCGCTATCTTTGTACCCCATATACCACACCATACCATCACTTTTTTGTTCCAACAGTCTTGGAGGGATCTATCCAGTGTGGGTCTGTGTCAGACCAATAGCAGTGGTTTTGTTTGTTAGCTTCACCATTTACTTAAAAGTTTGCCTCATCACTGAACAAAATCTTCTGCGTGAACGGAGGGTCCTGTTCCTATGTTTGTTTTGCCCATTCTGCAAGTTCTGTTCACCGATCTGGGTCATCCTCGTTGAGATGCTGCAGTAGCTGGAGTTTGTAAGGGTGCCATTTGTGAGTAGCTAATATCCGCCGAAGGGATGTTCGACTAATGCCACTGTCTAGTGACATGCGGCGAGTGCTACACTGTGGGCTCTAGCTGAATGAAGCTAGGACAGCCACTGATGTTTCTTCATTATTGACAGTTTTCATGCGTCCACAATGTGGCAAATCCAACACTGAACCAGTTTCACGAAACTTAGCAAGCAGTTTGCTAACTGTAGCATGGGAGCTGGGTGGTCTAGTAGGGTGTCCTGCATTGAAATCTGCTGCAATGACCCGGTTACTGCGTTCACCAGATATCAACACAATTTTGATCCGCTCCTCTCGTGTTAACCTCTTTGACATGTCAATGGCTGTGAACAAAGAGAAACTTGTAAATGACTCATGAAAGAATAAAGCTATGTTCAAACTAAGGACACCATTGTTTTTCTTGTGGATTTCTCAATAAGTTTTACGTTTCACATGACCCTCTTCCTATTGGAAAAACAAAAGATGGATCCAAGATGGCCAACTTCTAAATGGCCCCCATGGTCAGCACTAGGGCTGAACCATCTATAGTTTTTGGACCGAAATTGCGATTTCAAACAGCACAATCACGTGACCGTCAAAGCTGCGGTTTTGGCTGATCCAGGATAAGTTGTGCAACTATTTTTTACATCCGGGGTTTTCCCCCTGTGTTATGGCGGCGGCAAAAGCCAGCGCAGGGGAGGGGGTGGGATGTACCGTCCAGAGCCGAGCCCAAGTCGCGCGCTATAGTTGACTTTAAACCTCGAACTTCTCTTTTTAAAATGGTTTGAATGTTTCTGATGGCACACGTTAGTTCAAACAAGCTGAGGTGTCGGAGTGCGTGCGTCTCTCTCACGGAGCTGACGTTTTAGTGAGGAAAAACTATCAGACGGCTTCGAAAAACGTGCAGCCAGCCTGCCCCAGTAATGCAGGGAAAACTGTGCATTTTTGGCTATTTAATACATTTAAAAGCTATTTCTACCTACAGATTTCCTCCATACATTTTTGGAGTAGAACATGTTTTCCTAAAGCTCCTCTTTAGATAAAAATCCCAAGCACAAGTTGCTTCACAAATACATTTAAAAAAACATAATAATGGGAGAAAATATTAATAGATTTAACTGTATTTATTTCATGATTAAAAAGTAAATATTAATGTGAATGATGTGTTGTACTAGATCAGAATCTAGACCATCTTTTCACTTAATCTACAGGATGGCTTGGCAGGCTAGTGTTGGAACTTTGTTTGCAGAAAATCGTGAATTGAACCGAAATCGCAATTTCTGCTAGAAAAATTGCAATTCAATCAGCGTATTATAGTGAGAAACTAGAAAATTATAGAACAAATACTAAAGGGTTGTGGATAGAAATAAATAGGATTATTGCAAAAAGAGAGAAAACTCTTGTATATCCACAACGCTTTAGACATAATGATAAAATGATTGAAGACAGAGATATGTAATGAATTTAATATTTTTTTTTGTGAGTGTGGGTCCAAGGTTGGCAGAAAATATAGTAGGGCATTGGAGTGGCGAGGTGGAAAAGATAGAAATAAACTCCAGGACTGTTTTAAAACAAACAGATGAGGAAGAAATTGTTCGACTAGTTAGAGAATGTAAATCTAAAAGGTCCACGGATTGCAATGACTTAGATATGACAGTGCTAAAAAGTGTCATAGATGGTATAGTCAAGCCTTTACATTTTATCTTTAATGTTTCTCTTAGCACTGGAATATTCCCCAACGCAATGAAATTTGCAAAAGTGGTGCCATTGTTGAAAGAGGGGGATGAGTGCAACTTTACTAATTACAGGACAGTCTTGAGCACCTGCCCCTTTTGTCCGAAGTGCCGAAAGTGTCCTTTATCTGGTCTTTCGTCAGATTTCACCGTAAAAAACTGTTATACTGTAATACAGGCAAGGCACTAGGACCATGCGGAGGCAGCCTCGTCAAGCTGAAGCCTAATTTCCCTTAGACCCACCCACACGTTCACTGATTAGCTCTGCCGAGTTATGCTAACATGTGATTGGTTGTCCCTGCTGTCGCTCTAACTTGCAGCCATGTGAACGACAGACCGGTGTTTTGCCTGCGGGCAGGAGTTTGAGTTCATCTACCTGTGAGTTTTTTATTCTGCCTCCTTCACGACAACTGGATGGACTTTTTAATATAAGAGCTTTTGTTTACATTAACATTTGAGTCCGTGGCTAGTGTGTGTGGAGC